CGATTTTGTGCCGTATCGTCAATTGTCCCCAGCGTTCCGAAAACCGCAGCCAGGAAGTTTACACCTTTCTTCATGGCTTAAACTAACTGTTGTAGATTTCATTGACTGATGAAGCCGCCGCTAGCTCTTTTCCAGACTGACCCTATGTCAGCTAACATTGCCCGTCGAGAAAGGTGGTCACTAGGCATACGTAACAGTGCGTCGGTGGGACAGCGGTTAGCATGCTCGCCGACCATGCACATGGTCCGAGATCGATCACCGGCCGACGCACTGCTTTACCTCACTTATCCAGCAATAAGACTGGTAAAGAGGGAAGGTTCGGTATGAGACTAGCAACCCCATCCTGTAAAAATAAACACTGCTACAGAAACTTCAAGCCTCCAGCTTGAATCCCTATGTTCCACTGGTAACGTGAAGGAAATAAAAAAAGGCATATGTAACAGATGTCCTAGCCATCACAGTCGGTGTAACTGCACAACCTCGTCGATTGATTTCCCCTCCTTGCCAACACTCGACGTCTAACCTCAATATTTCTCACCCAATTATACCACCCGATACGCGAGACAATCAAAAACAGCTAGCCTTTCCATGTCCTTCACTTCCAATAGCCATTTCACACAGCCAAAAAGGAGGATAGAGCGAACTGTTGAGCAGTACACGCGCCGTTTGGTTGACAACCAGCCGGATATCATTTCTACGCCAGAGACGAAGTAAACTGGCATATGCTAAACGAGCCTTGTGTATCCGTGATGGAATCTCATCAGAGATCAACCTGCTGGCACTGGCTGATGCAACTTCCAAAATAAGTGAAGTGAGATCCTGCTTTATTAAACATTCAGTTGATTAACAATAAACATGATGTCCATATGTAACATCAGTGGAAGAGTTGACGATATGCATAAATAATTTTTGTTTTGTGTAGTTCCTTTTTTATCTTCTAATTGTTCGACTACTATTTCATCATTTAAACTGAAATTCAGCATTGCTTTAAACCCTAAATCACCTTATTACTCTCTTAATAAATCATATATTACTGTTATGACTATTACTCAACAGCTTTATTGTTATTATAAATTATTTAAATTAATCCCAGCGTGTTAAGAAAATCAAAACAATATTTTTCTGAACGTTTCGCCGTGTAAGCCACAGCTTCTTCAGCAGATTTATTCGGATTATAATTAATCATCAAAATATATAGTCAAAATTTTTTACATAAAATGAAGTCAGTTTATTTGAAGTTTACTAATGAGATAGAATCGGCGGAGGGAACGCTAAACTTTCTTGATTGTCTTGTAAAAAGACAAACTGACGAGAAACTAAAGTTTACCATATACAGAAAGCCGACACATTCCAATAAGTATTTGAATTTCCAATCAGATCATCCAATAAGAATGAAAGTCTCAGTAGCTTTAAATCTCTTTAACAGAGCTAGAAACATTATAACTGATAATGACGATATGGAGAACGAGATAACCAATATAAAACAGATTTTGATTGGAAATGGTTATCCTGAAAAGCTACTAGATAATATCATCAATAGAAAGGAGCACAAAAAAAACAAAAAGTTGAAAAATCCTGGCTATCGACGATGGCCATTCCATATCGAAAAGACACAGCTGAACAACTTCAAAGACTGTTTGCTGCATATAATATTAAAGTCTATGTTAAACCTTCTAATTCTCTAGAGAAAGCGTTAGTGCATGTCAAAGATATAGTTCCCAAAATGTCGCAAAGTAATTCTGTCTACAAGATAAAGTGTTCAGAATGTGAGGCATGCTATATAGGGGAGAGCAGTAGGCAGGTGAAAGTCAGAGTGAATGAATATAGACTTTGCACGAAACCTCCACCTAGAAATGAAGTAGAATTAAAAAGTCTAGAAAAAAGATCGGCTATAGCAATGCATGCGATAGACAGCGGACATAAGATTGATTTTGACAATGTCGAAATTCTTGGAAGAGGATTTCATTCACATAAAGAGAGATTGACTTCGGAAGCCTTACACATTTTAACCACATCAAATGCAGTGAATAGGAAAGAAGGTATAGACTTATCTCCTATATGGCAAACTCTTATGAAGCAAGACAGATGAAAAAACAACAAACACTCTATAAGCCTCCATGACCTTTAAAACATGTAGTGACACGTTTATCACATATGAATTCACGTATTTTCCATATGACAAATAACATACATACACACACATATACAAATCTAATCTTTACAAATCAACAGCAGGTCGAAGATGAGGCAGTAACTCATCGAAGAAGACATTGCGAAGTGGTCGCGCTATGTCGTGAACTGGCAGAAGTTAGAATTCAAGGACCATTGGATCGGGTCCCAGTGGCTCAATGGTCTACGAGCTCCCCTTGTAACCAGAAGGTCCTGGGTTCGAATCCCGGTGGGTGCGTACTGCTGAGGAGTCCCAAACTAGGACGAAACGGCTGTCCAGTACTCCCAGCTGGTTTCCCAATGGTTCTCTAACTAATGTCAGCTCATGATGAAATCCTCCATGCAATCAAACAAAATCCCTACAAAAACCAATACTTGAAAAAACTATAGAAGAGTAAACACAACAACAATTTGACATTAGTCATTACAAATATATGGGAGGACAGCTTACATATTTCTATTGGTAAAAATGTCCATAGACAAATGACCTTCAAATAAACTAACCTCATTTTATGTAAAATTTTTGACTATATATTTTGATGATTAATTATAATCCGAATAAATCTGCTGAAGAAGCTGTGGCTTACACGGCGAAACGTTCAGAAAAATCTTGTTTTGATTTTCTTAACACGCTGGGATTAATTTAAATAATTTATAATGAATCAATCTGACTCGGCGCACAAATTATTCCAGGAAATTCGTAACACCTACGGTCTGGAAACCCATAAGCTTTATTGTTAGTCTCTTTTACTACAGCTCAAAATATCACACTTACTAATCAGGAATGGATAGAGAGGAAGGGAGAATAATATCCATTAAGGTTGTAGATGTCTCGTACTGATAATAAGTATCAGTAAGCACTAAAACCTCGGATTGAGTACATCTTATTGTTGCCTTATTGCACATACTTGTCAGCTTAACACTTTCGTCATGGCGTGTTTTATTATTATTGTCAGTATTATTATTATCATCATTATTTGTATATCCTTTCAGTTCTGTAGTCGATTGTATATCAGACTACATTTATTCAATGTTGGTACGTATTTTTATTAGTCTATTTATTACTGGAAATATGTGAGACGAAAATAAATTTTGTTTGCGATAGTTTATAATAATCGATAATCTGTTAGACTTTTCCATATTTATATGTGACTGTTTTGACAGTTGATCAACAATTTCAGCTGAAACTTTATTCTGCTGACGTGTAAGGAGTAAAAAACAGAAATATGTTATCACAAAGCGATAATCACTACAAGCGTGAATAACAGTTTTATCACCCTGACATTTATTATCATTTTTAATCATAAATATGTTGGATGTATGTTTGAAATAAAACAGTGGCTAGTCTTCGGTCTCTTCAACACCAATGCTAAGTCAGTCAGTTTTTTCTCTATAGATCAGAAGTTTGGTGTGTCATGAAAAGCATTACCAACAGACTGGAGACTCCTATCGACTGCTGGCTTCCCTGGCTGTATACTGAGTTTCGAATAGCTATAAAGGATTAGCGATAAGGAACTCTAGGAGCAGATCATCCAAGAACATATTGCTCAGCAAATATGTCGAACGAAATCAAGATGAATTGGGCACACACTGGGGTGACTGATGGTCAACGTCGCACTCGAGGTGAACTCTCGAGTAGCCTCCAAATAGAGGACGATGGGTGGAGCACCCGAGGATGACATGAAATAAACTGTGTGAGAAGGAGATGAGGGACTATAAGCAGTCGTGGCGCCAGCTAAAGAGAACTTCAGAGAACGGGATGAAATTGAAAGGTGCTTTTGGAGCTCTATCTATTTTCCACGCGGAACCCATGGGGATAATCTTTAGTCGATAAAAGTATATACTTTGCTGGCAGACTGGATTCCTGCACTAATAGTAATCAATTAATGAAACCTAGATGACTAACTGGTGTAGTTAGAGATTCTCCATCGTTGTTTTTCCATGCTCTTTTCGGAGAACACTAACGTATGACAGTTTATGAGAATTATGCCGTCAGGATTCGGTCGGTGGATTTGAATCCAATGACTTATAGGTTTCACAAAGTTTTCAGTAACAAACCACTCATCATCCTTAGGGGAATTACCATTAATGTTAAAAGCGGATGCGTAGTGTTTTGTAAGATATTCAACCTTTTCTCAGTTTTCCTATAATGTAAATATTATGACTTGAAAGTAGCACAGATATATACATAGTCGATCCGCTTGGAAGCTCAACAGGTGGGTTCTTATCAGTCATAGGATTAAAATGATTTTGAGCGTTTGTAGATCACCATGTAGATGTTGCTTGTTAAGTTTTCTCATAACTGGAGTTGTTTTGCCACCGACATTCTAATGAGTTCTTTAGATTGTTGTCACAGTGACAAGTTGTTTATTACTTTAACGTAGATTCAGAGTAAGGTGGTCCGTTATGAGTTTCTACTTTTGTTGTTGTTGTTGTTGCTAATGGACGTTTCTCCTCAGACAGTATTAACTTAGTTGGGCGTCTCAATTCAACTTTGATATTTCTGCTTCGTTTTTATCCTACTCTTATCTCCAGAATATTGAAATTTTTTTAGGGTAATGCTTATTCGATTATTGTGGAGTAGATTTATACCGTGAACAGATTTTTTTAAACATAACTATTTGCACAAAAGTTTCAATGTAAGCGGACTGAAATTAATTTAAACCTCAAATAATACGTTTAAATGTGTTTACTACTGAAAATAGTCATTTGTTTCCTTTATACTTCTTGCTACTGAATCAAGATTTCAGTAGTATAGTGGTGTATTTCACTTAATTCTATGATCTTGTTCAACACTGATAAATTATATTTTTGTCATTTTAACCAAACAGCTTCGTTATCCAGATCAAGTCTTGGGTCTGTTTCTTATAAATCCGAATGCAACCACTCATGGCTATTATCAGTGGTTCCGTAATGTTTGGTCTGATCTACCAGCACTTGAACGTGGTGTACTTACTGATAGTTTAATGAGTCAATTAGAGGCACATTGGTTTGGTTATGTAAGTTTAGTTTGCAGATTGATTCCTTTCTTGATTTATGTATATATATTGTTGTATTATGTTATCATTTGAAATCGTGTTATGTGGAAGAATTGCCAATCTGAAAGCGTTAGTGAAATAATAAAAATAATAATTAGTTATGATACAAAAGAATATCCCTCATTAAAGTTGTTGAAAGTTAAATTTACCTGTTGAATTTCCAGAGATTTGCTTGGTTCCAATATAGATGTTGTCATGAAAAAGTGGAAAAACCAGCCGTGCTGGATATCTGTTTCGTCTGAGGTAGGGTCTTTTCACCAGGTACGCAGTCATAACTTCATTACAAACAGTATGGAATTCAGAGTCTATTTTGCAACATATACATATTTATTGTTTATTAATTTAAACACAGAAAAAACTTGGTACAATATGGCACACGATAATAATAAAACAACATAGATCAAAGAAAGAAAAAAGAAAAATTATAAGTACAGAACGGATAAAGAACGTCATCTGGAAGGAAAACAGTCATGCTTAACAAATTCAAACAGTATTCGTTAACTATCATCAGGAAGGGGAGAAAGAAGGAAATCGCAACACGTTCGCCATTGATTACGATTCTTGGCCATATCCGATAACGTTTCGAACCATCGATTCGAGCTATCTCGCGGACCCCAACCAGGGAGTCGTGACACACCGACCGATGCTAATCTAGCACAAAAATCCTTCATCCCACGAGGCCACGTCATGGACTGACCACCTCTCCGCTTTTTTCATCCCGTCCCAGGGCTGGCTAGCGAACAGAGACCTGTACGGAAGCCTCTGGGATGACATTCTCAGCACATGTCCAAGCCGTCGGAGCCGGTGTTTCCAGATAAAGACACTCAATGAATGGTGATCTCCACTGTATTCAAACACACTCCACCGAACCTCAGAATTACTCACGCGATGATACCATCGAACGCAAGCAATTCTGTGGAGAAAGCGATGATCGAACACGCAGAATCGCCGCACATCCTCAGCCTACTCGGAGAGGCCAGGTTTCACAGGCGTAGAGCAGGGCAGCCCGCACCGAAGCATTGTATACTTGACCTTTGACAGCCAGGCTAACATCGCGACAGTGCCATAGGTGGCTCAAGTTGATATATGCCACCCAAGTCTTCATTATACGGTTGGAAATCTCATCCGTCACCCCTCCGCCAGCACTCTTAAAACTACCCAGATACAAAAACTTATCAACAACTTCAAACGGTTCGCCCGCAAGAGTGAGTGCAAGTACAGGTTCCTGCCAATCTTGTAACAGTACTTTGCACTTAGACGGAGCAAAGCACACACCATACTTACAGACACTGATCACCAACTGATTTGGGCAGCCTGCATGCTATCGCACAGTAAGACGATATCGTCTGCATACTCGAGGTCGAAAAGTCTATCTCCTGGTAGCAAATCTACACCACCTTCACGCACATCCTTCAGAGCTGACTCCAGAATGTCATCGATGACAAAGTTAAAGAGAAATGGAGAGATTGAGCAACCCTGTCTAACCCCACTGTTGGTTGGGAACAGTGATGACAGTTGGTTGTATGCCCTCACTCTACCCGGAGTGTACATATACATGATGTGAACTGAAAATTTCTTCAACTGTCATCTTCTTTGCTTAGTGCATCAGCGAATCCTACAGAACACTCTCTATGAACATTGGATTATTGCCAACATCACAACCACACTATCAAAGCGCAACAAAATTTAAACGGTGATAAACTAGTTAAACCAGCAACACTAATTATGCACAATCACTCAACTTTAACTTTACAGAAAAATCAACAAATCCCATATACAGCAAATAAAGTGATTGTATTATCTAGAGTCAAGGTGTAGTGTAGACTCAGTCCATTTCTTCAATACCTAAAATGTTATAGACAGTCATATGGAGGTACTGTAACAGGCGGAGACAAGAGACTTGGTGACGGACTTTTTTATTAAAGAAAAATACACCATATTTTTACAGTTTTAGTGACATTTCAGGTAGGCTAGGTCACCTGGTATTAAACTGTTCTGATTGGTTGTTGATTTCTGAAGGCTAAACCTTTTGACGGAAAGCTGTCCAATTAGATTATTTTCTAACTACAAAGTAAGCTACTTCCAGATTATAGGAGTAAACACTCCTACAGCCGTAGTCACTGACTTAAAATACTGTTTTCAATTATGGCTACTTCCTATCAGTTTGTGTCTATATACTACTGATAAATCTTCTCAGTAGCGCACGCCACAGTACTATTTTACTGCACGGGTTCATGACGAAGTTTGCACTGACAGACTTTTGAACTTACAACTTCCCTACATGAATTGGAATTTATGATCTCTAACGTTTCAAGCGTTATAAAAATTCTAAATTCAATGTCGGTAAGAGGCCTGCTTGGTATTTCGTTCCTCTGTTTTGTTGAAGAATACCCAATTCAGATTGAATTCGTTAAACAGTACGGATTTCAGCTATGTATATTAGAAATGAAGTCCTCATCTGTGGAAGATGTCTTATGTATATTGAAGGAATATACTATGCTACGCTATTCATAAATAGGATATGCCATTCCAAATAATCTTGGTGGCTAACCTCTCCTCAGTTTTCTATTCCTTTGCACTGCAAGTGGAACATAGGGTGTCAAGTTTGTGAGCAATAAAGTCTTGGAAGCGGCGGTGTTGTTGTTTTTGCGGGGTAGATTCGCTTGACTCATGTTCAGCCTTCCTTTTTCACCGGCTTACTATCGGTTAAGCGAGGTTTAGTGTGCGCCTGTAGCCTGAGGGTCGACCACGGAACTACTGGCACACACTATTCATTTTTACTCTGCACATATTTTTATATGCTCTGACAAGTTAATAAAGTTAGTCGAAGTTAAAAAATAGTCGGAAATCGGTTGAATTTGGCTATTTTCAGCATCTGGATGAAGTACTAGCTATTACACTTTCAATTAATTTTTTTGATTTTCACTGCAATCTTATTGTTTGTTTGTTTTTTGTTGTTGACCGAAATGATGTATTTTCGTTTGCCTCCCACTCCCCTCATTCTCTCTCCTCCTGTTGTTTCTTCTACAATCAGGGTTTAGTTGAAAACATTGATATTGCTAATTTCTATGAATCGTTAGCACGTAGTCTAAATCCAACCAATTTAGCTGGTTATATCCGATCATATGTGGATAGGACACCGATTCACTTAGTTCGACCTATCGGTCCACCAATGCCATCTGATAATGAAACAAATACCAATGAAGAACCATCAGTTATACAAACTGAAGTATGCTTGGTTACTGGTGATCGTGCTGTTGAATTATCACGTGCATTAGCTGATATGAATGGACGTATGGATCCAAAACGTACACAATTTTTAATGGTAAGTATAATAATGTTGTTGCTGTTTTTAATTTCTCTTCCCGAATTTAAACTACTCACTGTTCATCATTTATGACTACTATTACTTTTTGTATTCTTGTCGGTATTATCTTGGTAATTGAATCCCTTGACTTTGACATCAGATGGGTATTCCTTGCGTAGGTGGCACAGCGGTTAGGACGCTTGCCGACCGTTCCCATGGTCTGGGGATCGATCCCCGGCCGACGCGCACCTGATATCAATGGTAGGCCTGCTAAATTTGGGCCACCGATATCACATGTTGAAAATTGCACAATTCTACCAAAATGCTGTGCGGAATGAAGCTACATTAATAATAATAATAATAACTGATAATTCGAGTATATTGTGAAGTTATTTATGTATTGATAACTTTACTTTCTATTCTTTTCTTCTAATTAACTGAGTTGACCGGTCTTTGTTTTCGTTGAAATTGCCTCCAGAATAATTTTGATTTCACTGTGTTCACCGTTTACTGAGATTCTGCCGAGACACTCCTCAAAGCGAAGCAGGTGATTGCGTCATAAGGTACTGCACTCCAAGCCCTTGACTAGAGATCTCGTCTACGAAGCAGCAGCAGCAGATTCGCATACCTATGGTTCCCGATGACCAAACCAGGTTCTGTACGGCATAAGGGCATCTCATTTCGGGTTATGAAGTTCGTGTCAAGCATAAATTTAGAAGTAGGGTTTTCCAATCCCAATAGATGTCTACTAGTCAGGTAATAAGTGCCGAACATTTCCATTTTCCCTTTCACCTTTGCGAGAACACCTGAAGTGGGAAGATATATAGTAGAACCTGCGTGGCGGAGGCTAGGAAGTCACGACCACATGACAGTATTCTAAAAGGAAGACCAGGATGCACCCACCCTCCGTCGTACCAGGTAATATTATAGAGGGAACTGAGATTTTTGCGCATTCAAATGAATAATCAATTATTTATGCTTACTAGATTTCCCTGCTAGGCATTATGAACCAGATTAGTTTTGGATATTTTTGAAGGAGTCATATAATACATTATTTGGCCTAATATTTATTAGTGTAAAGTTGTACTTCATTGTATGTGGCATCCAATTTGCATTTAATTAATAATAAACTCAAGTACCCAATCCGTCCGTTTACTTCCTGAATTTTTTCTTCTTTTCCATCCGGCTACTTTCCGAGAGGAACATAAACTTCAAGCTTTAAAGTTTCAGTAATGGTGGTGTTGTTTTTACGAGTTGAGGTTGGTTGTCTCATGCCTAACCGTCCTACTTTTTCTAGTTTACTGCCAACTATCAAGTCAAGCGATGTGAGTTGGCCCGCATTACAACCTGGACCTCCTGCATGGTTAGCGAGCATTCTACCGTTTTCATCACTATCGCACATAAGTTAGACTCTTTGTCATTTTAAAGAAAGGAAATATATTTTACCCTTAGAAGAGTGTATGAAGGAAATCGTTAAGAAACCCTGTACCTAGTTTTCGTGGTTTTTGACACTCATCAGTAAGGTGCATCTACAGCCTCGAATTAACTTCTGAGATTCGAACTCGCGTCGTCTAATTCTACAGTCAGAGACGTTATAATGGAGCTATTGCAAATTCAACTGACATAATTCAGTCTACACGTCAATTCCCTTAAGATTGTAGACAAGCCCTGCTGACGAGCTCCTAAATGGCGCGAAATCTTCGTTCAGGGCTAATTATCGATTGCCTCCAACTACCTAGCTAAGCTCAGTCTTTTGCTGTCTCGCTTTGCTCACGCAAAACATTCGTATCATCCTGCACGACATTATGTTAGTCAGTAGTCGAAGACTTCATAGTTTGGCTTCGTATACCGACAGAAAATGAGCAACATTACATAAATGAAACAACTGTGTTGTCTGTAGATAAAATGTTGCGTTCTATTTACTTATAAAATAGCAAATAATAGCAGTATAAAATCATACTCTGAAAAAATTTCCCATTTGGTTGCATCTACAATTAATTAAACATACTTTGCAGGATTTCATCATGAGATGGCATCAGTTAGAGAACCATCGGAAAACCACCAGGGAGTACTGGACATCTGTCTCGTCCCATTTTGTGACTCTTCGTCAGTACCCACCCACTGGTTCGGATTCGAACCCAGGACCTTCTGGCTACAAAACTAGTGACTTCGTAGACTATTAAGCCACTGGGACCCGATCCAATGGCCGGTCCGTGAATTCTAACTTCTGCTAATTCACGACATAGCGCAACCTCTGGTCAATGTCTTCGGCGACTATTTGTTCTCACACCCGAACTACTGCACCATACTGGACATTGGCTAGCCGTCACTCTATGTCGTGAATTTGCAGAAGTTGGAATTTATGAACCATTGGGTCGTGTCCCAGTGGCTTAATGGTCTACGAGCTCACTGGCCTTGTAATCAAACGGTTTGGTGTTCTAACCCCACTCAGTGAGTGCGTACTACTCAAGAGCTTCAAACTAGGCTAACTAAACAGCTGTCCAGTACTCCCTACTGGTTCTGCAGTGGTTCACTATCCGATGTCAGCTCATGATGAAATCCTGTAACCAATCTCCAGACAATTCATCACTGAAAATTTAATTTATGAGTTCAATGTCCTTTTACTGAAATATCTTCCGATTACCATTAAAGCTTCACTTGATATATGCTTTATTGTAGTGTCGTGATATACTAAATTGTGTAAAGAGTTGTCGTGTTACACTTTTTCTCGATGAGTATATGTATTATCACGTTTTCATGATAGATGGTGATTTCACTATGACCATGACATATGTGACCTTAGGCTTATTTCTTCACAATTGATCTCCTCTTACAGAACTGATCGTCATTATTCTCGCCTGAAGTATTTTGATTTACATCTATCTAATCTATGTTGCAGTGGACCTGTTAACTGATTTGTTATATTCAAACTCTAAGACATAGAATCTCACTCTGTCTCATAGTGACGTTATTTCAATCTTGGTGTTACGAAAAAGGAGAATAGGCAACATGATATTCGCTCTATCCAAGTACTACTTTATTTAGTGTTCTTAGGTGGTTATGCTCCATGGGTTTGGTGATAAAAATGTGCTCATGAATTGTTTGCAGTTTACATAAATCTCACCATAAGTAATTTTAAAAGTATATATACATGCTGCTACAACTTTTTGCCTGAGAAACGATCCCTTGTTACTTTATTCAATCGTTCCTAATACATTTATCATTTAATTTGATTTAGTTACAGGATTTCATCATGAGCTGACATTGGTTAGAGAACCATTGGGAACCCCGGGAGTACTAGACAACTTTTTCTCCCAGCTAGTTTGGGACTCTTCATCAGTACTCACCCACCACAGGAGGTTCGAACCCTGGACCTTCTGGCTACAAGGCCAGCGAGCTCGTAGACCATTAAGCCACTGGGACCCTGATCCAATGGCCAGTCCATGAATTCCAGCTTCTACCAATTTACCACGTAGCGCGACCGCTAGCCAATATCTTCAGTGGGTATTTGTCCTCACACCTGACATGCTGAACCCAACTGGCCATGACTTCCCGCTAGAACCCCAGATAACTACCAGCCTGAATAAGGCAAGTCGCCTGTCAGCATCTCATCGATATTCAAGTGTTGGTTTGTAGGGATTTGATGAAATCCTGTAACCAATCAATCAAAAAAATCCCTACAAACCAACACTTGAATAATCTGAATTAATTTGTGACTAAACTCTTGTAAAGGTAATGAATTTCAGAAACTTATGGCTACCTCATTAACATTACATTTTCTGAAATGATTCGATAAAAAGATTGTTTTTTTCAATCTTGTCATGAATTATTGAATACTTTCATTTCTACATATTTTAGATGCCCGATTGTACAGGTATGGTTATGGAAGAGAATCCTGATAAATTAGTCATGAATTTTCTACATTTTCTGCGTAGTATTGGACATGGTGAGTAGTAGTCTGTTTTTTTGACGTTATTTATTATCAGTAGAATTTTTCGCTTATCTGTTTCAACTACTGAAATGTATAATATAGTAGTATTATTAAACTTTACCTAGAATCGCTCACATTTTTTTAAAATTGCTCCGCGTAAATGATTAGCAGACACATTATTTTTTATTCTTGAATAATAAATGAGCAGATAGATAGATTAAAACAAACAATGTACTTTTCAGGGAAAAAAATGAGAGCAAAAGATAAATAGGAAATATATGTATATCTCTGAATGTTATCTTATGTGAAGCTGTTATCAAGAGGGGAATTAAACCACCTACACAATTTTTACATTTTCGGCTTGTGGTACAGGATATGTTATAAGGCTGTTCAAATATATGTATATATATAAGAGTGCATCCACTGGAATTCCAGTTTACCCATAATCCCATGTGTGTTTTTTCTTAATGACTTGGCAAAATCTCTCATCCTGTCATCCCAAATTTTACATTGAAGCAGTATATATATATATATATATATATATATATATATATATATATAGAGAGAGAGAGAGAGAGAGAAGACGTCTGATCTGGTTTGAGATTGGGCATATACATTGTATTCGATCACATGTGGTGAGATTGAAACATTCTTCAATAAAAAAAACACAAATAATCCATTTTGAAGTATTTTTAGAGCTGTTCCTTTTAAGTTCTAGTTATCAGGATTTTATTTCTACAATTTGAACTTATCTAAAAGTACTTTAGTGAATATATTTCACTAGTTTAAATGACTATAGATCGGTTATCACTTCATGTATAAAGAAGTAAATTTTTAAACTCAGTAAGATGCTGTCTATTGGATGGGATTCTTTTCTGAAGGATAAATTGTGTTCATATGATTGACTGTAATGTCAACGTAGATCTGTGCACAGAAGTCTACCATTCTAAGTTGCTGAGCTCCATGTAGTACACAAAGTGGAGGGAAAACTTCAAAGGAACGACAGCGAACAGAAATGTACAGGAGAAAGTATAATTACATGGAGAATAGGGATATTTTCATAGGACTGGGAAGTCTCTCCTGGATGAACGCCGCATGTTCATCATTGTAAGAACGATTTGGACTTATGTCACGAAAATACTTTCCAGTCATTGGTTCTTAGAATCTCAAGATCCCCAACCTGGCAGTCTACATCTCCCTTTGTGGCTCAAATCAGCAGTCAATGATTTCACTATGTATCACGCAGTGAAACAGTATTACTTACTGGATGACGTTACGAACAAAAATTATTGTTCATAATCATATCAATTGTAATCACACGACTTTGAGAAAAAAAACTCAAGTTTCAAAGTCATGTGATTATAATTGATGAAATGATTATGAACAGTAATAAATTGTGTTCGAAACTGTGTCATCCAGTAAATACTCCTACTGTTTCACTGTGTGATATATATCTAATAAACAAACTAATATGGAATTACTTACTACCACAGTGCCCAAGTTTTACACATATATATTAATGATTTCATGAACTGATATCATGTTTCAATTTGACCACTTCTAACTTCCTTCATGGTCATAACATCTCTTTATGCGTTGACGGAGTCAAATACCGCCTTCACGTCAAGGAAGTGATAACAAGATAACGACAGATGAACACTCTTATGTGACAAATGAAAGTAAGATAAACAAATGAAGATTAGAGGATTGATTACGAGCTGACTTCAGTTAGCACAACTATTGGAAAACCTGCAGGCAGTACTGGATAGCTGTTTCGTTAGCCTTCGTTTGGGACTCCTCATCCATCAGTACGCACACTTCGGGTCTCGAACTCAGGACCTCCCAGCTTGTAGACCATTCAGCCACTATGATCCTATCCAATGGTTCTCTAACTACTGTCGGTTCATGATCAATCCTGTAACCAATCAAATCCGTGTAAACCAACATTTTATAGATGAAGATTAGTAAAATCAAATTTCGAAAATCAAATTCAAATGATTCCCAGCTATTTTACTTTTGGATTACTTGGTGTCACATGGATCCCTACTATTCATCCTCATACCTTACTGTGTGGTTTAAGTTAGAACCACTATAATGCATAAGTGTTGATTATAAATTGCTTTATTCTTCAGGCATTATACAATTCAGAGATAAAATTTGTCTTTTATCGTATAAATCTAATACTGATTCTCTTTCTTACTAAAACATATATATGTATTGGGGACAAAAGTTATATAGGTCAGATGTTGAACATCCTGTTCTTGTTTCGCAATAGTTTATTGGTTTATGTATAAGTAAAATGAATACTCTTTTTTTTCTTTCATTTTCCATGAAAGGACGACAGTTTGAGGTCAATGAATTTCTTTTTGACAGAAATATCCTTTTATTTCCTCTTTGAATATTGAACAATTATAAGTAGATATTACAAAGACAGGATTTCATCATGAGCTGATATCGTTTAGAGAACCAGTGGAAAACCTGGGAGTGCTCGACAACTGTTTCATCTGCCTAGTTTAGGACTCTTCATCAGCACACACCCACTGGGCGTGGTTCAAACCTAGGACCTTCTAGTTAGAAGTCTAGTGAGCTCTCAGACCATTAATCCCTATTCAGGTAGGTAGTTACCTGGGGTTCTAGTGGAAAGTCATGACCATTAGGGTACAGCAGGTCCGTTGTGGGGAAAAATACTCGCCATATTGTTAAATGGCGGAAGTTTGAAATCATAGATTATTCTATCGTATCCCAGTGGCTTTATGTCCCACGAGCTCGCTGGCCTTGTAAACAGAAGGTCATGGGTTCTAACCACGGTAGGTGGGTGCGTACTGACGAAGAGTCCTAAACTAGGACGAGACAGCTGTCCAGTACTCCCAGGTTTTCCAATGCTTCTCTAACTGATGTCAGCTCATGATGAAATCCTGTAAAAAAATGTTCTCTTCGCAGCTCCACTTCAAAGCTGTACGCTTACCAAGATAGTGTTCTAAAAGGTTATAGAATATCAGTCAGTAATAATACATTTAGAATTACATGTCAGGAAGAGTGGTGAATAAATTACGAAATTCAGCTAAGCAGTAGTCATACGTAATCTAAAAAGATTAACTGATGATGAATATCGCTCAGAATGGATTATCACTAAACCCTGCATAGGGGTTTGAAATTATAAATATTGTTAATAATAGTAGTAAAAGATTCAGAATATTTATCAAGCATACATAATTTTAAGTTATGAACTTGAAAGGGAGAAAAGAAGGTTTGAGACCACAGTAGTTAGAGGGATTGGACAAATCACTTTTGTATACACAATTCATAGTTTTCTGTGAATATTTTGCAAAAGCTTCTACTGTAGAGATAATTTTATAGCATTCCATGGGGTATTATTAAAACTTTTTAGGAAATCTCACAAATAAAAGTTAATAGTTTATGATGAATTTTGTGTTCTTTGCCTGAAAATAATTAGTAAATGTTGTGTCCTAAATTAGTGGAAAAGAGACACAAACTTGCACTATGAAATTGGTATAATACTAGCCTATTATCATTAAGAGTGTTATGCATGTAATCGGAGTATATTCTTCTATGGTTTATCATTATTGTGTAATGATTTCATATCTTATAATTAAGTGTATTCAATGCATTGGTTTGTGGTAATTAAGTGCACTTTATATTTTATGCATAATATATTAACGTCTATAATATTACCTGGTAGTAGTAGGTTGCCAAGTGGATGATTCAAGACTTGAAGTTTTGTGCTCAAGTGAACCAGTCACAAATTTTGAAACTGATTCACCTCTCCGAGCACACCTAATAAAAGCTGGTTTCAAAACTAACAAAATAGTCGTTCAATGTTTTCACATGAGTGGCTACCAACTACTCTCATGTCTATCAGTAGTATATGACACCATGAAATTACATTTACTTTCTAGAGTCTCAAACGGAACATAACTTGCATCGTAGATTACACTGTTAGTTACCATTAACCAAATATAACGTGAGAATTTACCAGTCTTTTAAAGCAGTTGCTTATGGAAGTATCTCATGTGATTGCCTTTATGGTCGGTTAGATAACGTGCTCAAGGGAATATAAATAAAGATCAATCTACTCAATACTATCTTAGTCACATAACTTTTCGCCTACTTTCGAGAATGAATTAGATTCATTGACAACATCAAAGTAGAATTTAGCATTACTGTTTACTGGTTCAAAATGCTATATCTCATACCTTTACACTGAGTTAAAGCAATTAAAATTGTTTTCTTAACATGATACAACATACCTTACTTTTCTCGGATCGGGTCCCAGTGGCTTAATGGTCTACGCGCTCGCTAGTCTTGTAGCCAGAAGGTCCTGGGTTCGAACCAAGCCAAGTGGGGGGGGATGATGAAGAGTCCCAAACTAGGGCGAAACATTTGTCGAATACACCCAGGTCTTCTATTGGTTCTCTAACTGTTGTCAGCTCATGATGAAATCCTGTCTTTGTAATGTCACAGACTTAGGTCAAGTTATGTCCTTTTAACTTGACCTTAGTCTATTTTCTCACCTCTTACCTCTTTATTTATTTCATATATATTCCTATGACAAGTCCGTGTGTGATCAGATTGTTGGAAATGTGTTGCGCAAATACATTACACGATTCAGACAAATTACGTCTTCGTATTGCTTTATCTAAATTCATAAAGGGAACTAATTGTTTTAAAATAATATGAGTGTTATTGATCAATTACAATCAGATGGGAAATAAGACGAGTGTTTTTATAGTCATAATAAGTAACTTGTTAGAATGTTGTGATGTGTTTGAATTGAAATAGAATTTTAAGATTATTTATTATCCTCTTCTGATTTGACCGGCGGTAATAATATCTTCGATACATATTTCTGGTATTTGCATTGAGTCATTTCTGTTGCATGTGTTGGGTGTAGACTCGATGAATAAGGATTCATCAATCAACCTTTCTCTCTCTCCACCTACCTAGATTACTTTTTAGAATTTTAAACCTCTCCCACCATGCTATTGTGTGGTTGTGTGTTAATGCGTGAAGTGCAATTGCTGAGCTTATTGCTAAATTACTTATCTTCTCGGGGTCATAAAAAAGTGATTGATAACCGGATTCAAAACGATGTATCAACAAATAGATGATATCTAGGCTGAACAAGTATTCGTCTATGCGATAGACCATCATATTAGTGGGAATACTAGTCATAAAAATAGAGATTGTTCGCTAATATCTGAAGATTAACTTCTCTTTCCCTATGATCTTCGTAGTTATTGAGTGTGGTGTTGTTTTTTGTTTTTGAAAATGGTAAAAATTTGGAGAAGATTAAGTGTTTTAAGTTTTGTTTTTAATGTAACCACCAAAGATACCCATTTATTCATAAGTAAAAATACAATTTTTTTGTTCAGCAAAGAAATTTCTTTTCAACGACTTCATTTTCAAGCAGCTGTACAGTCGTATTTATATTACAGAAAAAGGTTATTAAGTGGGACTAAATAATTGCCCAGTCAACATACATATATATGTGATAAGAATAACGATAATTAAAATGTTATAAGGGGCAAAGTTGAAGTGGATGAATTACAAAATTATTAAAGATTGTTTTATAAGTGAATTGATATCAGAAATGTCAAGTGTTGTCTAAAAGTTTCAAAAATTACGAGTACGATTACGATAAGAATAAAGATGTGAAGTGAAGTGGAATGAATTCAAGTGGTAAAATAAAATAAAAACTAGAAAGAACATTACTATGACCAAGCTAAAGAAAGGGGCTTGACGAAACGTTTTTGAACACATAATTTAGGTTTCTGTTCATGAATAGCTAAAGCTTCGGCTATGCATAAGTGAAAAAAAGATAAACTTTTGGAGCGATTCGATTTGGCCACGTAGATAACCTTGAAGGATGAATAATGTGGGGCTAAATGACCAGACTCTAACTGGTGATCACAAATAGACGACTTTGCAGTTCTACGTTCGCCTTTCATTAACTAAACCGATTAGTGTTCAGCTACACGTTTTCGGAGGGTACATTTACGTTTTGTCAAACCCCTTTCTTTACCTTGGTCATAGTAATGTTCTTTCTAGTTTTTATTTTATTTTACCACTTGAATTTATTCCGCTTCACTTCACATCTTTATTCTTATCGTAATCGTACTCCTAAATTTTAAAAATTTTTTGAACTCAGTTGTTCACTGATAAAATAATGTTTAATAATTTTGTAATTACATGGGGATTTCACCATGAGCTGACATCATTTAGAGAACCACTGAAAAACCTGGGAGTACTGGACACCTGTTTCGTCCTATGTTGTCATGATATCCAGTTGTCTATCAAGGGGCACATATGTTTTTTATGCAGATCGGAGTATTTGGGTTCGTTCGACTTTACGGGTGTTAGGCTTTACCACTAAAAAAATAGAAAATGTGCCAAGCTTTTGTTTTTAAATTTTAGGATGCCTTCATAAATTAACTGGAGTTAATCAAAGCAACATAGTAACGTGGCAATAACGAAATAAAACATGCCCTATTCAGGTAGGTAGTTACTTGGGGTTCTAGTGAGTAGTCGTGACCATTAGGGTGCAGCAGGTCGGGTGTGACGACAAATACTCACCGAAGACATTGGCTAGGGGTTGCGCTGTGTCGTGAATTGACAGAAGTTAGAATTCATGGGTCATTGGATCGTGTCCTAGTGGCTTAATGGTATACGAACTCGCTGACCTTGTAACCAGAAGGTCCTGGGTTCGAACCTCCTGTGGTGAGTGAGTACTGATGAAGAGTCCCACACTAGGTGGGCGAGACAGTTGTCCAGCACTCCCAGGTTTTCCAATGGTACTGTAACTGATGTTAGCTCATGATGAAATCCTATAACCTAACATTAATTGTTAGATTGTGAGAGAATGTCAATCGATGAGATTGTGGAGGGAGACTACTGACTGATTATTCCGATGGCTGGCATGTAAGGAATTGTTTTTTTAGCGTTTTATATCTTTAATAATACACCACCTCACTTGTTGTCCTCACTAAACTGTTTTTTCTTTCATTAAATTCTTTTTTTTCACTTACATTAGTTGTCAGTCTTACACCGGATAAATTACGTCAACAAGCCTCAGAAATACAACAATCTTTATTGGAAGAATTGCCTGAAATGTGTTTACCTGCTCAATTAGTTATGGAACCAGAGGTTTGATTCATTAATTGTTTACTTGTGTTTGTCTGTGTGTGCGTGTGGCGATGCAATAACAATAACGACAACAATAATAACATCATAATATATATATTCTAATACATACTGATTAACAATAAAATTACATAATTGTTACATTCGAATATTGATTTCTGTGTCATTCACCTTCCACTTTCACTTATTCTCGGTGTGTCTGTGGGGGTGCGTGTGTGTGTATGCGTATGTATGATATTCCTACTATCACTGATGTGTGAATCTATCTCACTTCTAGGTAAGTAATGTCAGTTAACACTTATAGTCAGGAACTTTCCATCTCTGTGTTTAATCGCTCGCTCGCTCTATCTATCTTTCTAAATCACCCATCTTCGCACTCACACATTCTCTTTGTGTGGTAATCACTAATACTACTAATGAATAAGTTGTTTCAGTTGATTAGTTTACTAACAAAATACTTTATTTTCATTTCAAACCGATTTTTAGTTGATCATTTAATTTTCTATAATATTATTGGATTAGTATTATTACTATTAATAGTAAGGACAGTAGTAGTAATAATAATAATATTGTACTCATTGTTTGCCCACTTCTCAACATCCTCCTCACCATCCTCATCAGCAGTTTCATTGTCATACATCATTTTCTCTTACCTGTAATCGATCACTGTTATTTGTACAATTAATACATCCAACAACACTCACACAGACAGACACACAATAGTTTAAGCATATTTTTAACACTTAAACAATCAGTTTAACCAGTTCTTCAGCCATCATTCAGATACATCACCATCATCATTATTGGGGTTATCACTCATCTTTTCTTTGATTGGTGTATTCCTTGAAAATATCGTGTGCGTTTGCGTGGTTGGGTGGTTTCGAATCAATTTCACAGTGGATTGTTTCGTTAATTCACTTATAGTAATATTAGTAGTAGTAGTAGTAGTAGTAGTAGTAGTAGTAGTAGTAGTAGTAGTAGTAGTAGTAGTAGTAGTAGTAGTAGTAGTAGTAATAGTAGTATCTTTAGTAATTTGCTCATTCCCCTTTTGTTTTTTTCTCTTCTCTTTTTTTCTTATCACACACACACACACACACAAAAGGTGGAATCACAGAGTACATGAATGAAGTCGTTTCTAATACCCCATATGTGTATACCTGCACACACACACACACAATATGCACACATACTACATACAAACTGTTACTGTCATTCAACCACTTATTCTTATTCACTTAGACCTGTGATGATATTGATAATGATATAATTGTAAGCATAGTGAACTCTTCAGACACTTGTATTACTTACTGATATATAATATTGACTTTATTCATTGTTTATATATATAAAGTATTATAAAAAAAATAGTAGGATTACTACTGATACTTAATTAATTGCCTAGTGAGTAGTATTCATTTTAGAGATTCATAGTTTATTATTTGATATTTGATTCATTAATTTAAAGAGTTTTCCAGTTGTTGTTTTTTAAAAATGTTTTGTTCTCTTTTCTTCACTATTTGTTTCTGTTCTTGTTATGTACTTTTATCTCTTATTAATAATCATAATCATCATAATAATAAGTTTATTTGTAATAAATTAATTACATAATATCAATATAAGTGTGATTAAATTAACTTGATAAAAATTATGGATTTTATCACCCTCTCTTTCTGTCTCTCCGTTAAGTTAATGAGGGGTGGGGGGAAACGGCGGCAGGGCAGTTGATAATGACGAAGAAGTGTTGGGAGATAGGCTGCGTGGGGGGGGTGTCATATTTTCCATAGAACTTAGTTTTACATTTTACATTCGGCTGTGACAGTCTTGTTTGGGTCTAAAGGGCTTAAGAGGAAGTGCTGAAAGTTTAAAAATAATCTCAGGTTGATTCAGAAGTACAAGTCAATTCTTAATTCGAAAAAAGAGATTAGGTGGAACTCCGGGTCCTACATTTTTTAAAATTTTTGTTATTTTATTCCTTTACGTTCCGACTGGAACATAGAACTTCAAGCTTCAGCCTTGAGGTTTCAAAAGTAGTGGTTTTAGTTTTACGCTATAGAGAGGGGGGTGAAGGGTTGCTATCCTTCCTCCTTACTGGGCTTACTACCGGCTTGGTAAAGTTCAGGAGTGAGCATTGTTAAGAGAGCACGTAATAAGTTTCACTGACAGTTTGTTGCTTTATTTCATTGATTGTGTGAGAGCTGAGATACTGCCCGTGCGCCCAGGCCGAAGCAGGCGGTTTTCTTAAGGGACCACCCCCATGAGCCTTTGACTTGAAGTCTAAACCTCAGGAGGTATGTTCCTGTGGTTGTCGATGACCAATATAGGTTCATACGCCATTTGATCCGATTGTATTCTGGAGCCCATGCACCCCATGGAAACTGCTTTTAGTCTAACCGCTATCTAAACAACCTTCCTGACATGGTAGTGTGGGGAGAGCAGGCTGCTAGCCAACTGGTAGACATTAATTTACGCCAATGTTTAGGTCACTAATATTGGCCGTAAGAAAATATGAACAAGGCTGATTCAACAACCAATCACAGCAGACTTAACGTGGGCAAATAAGATTCGCAGATATATGGCTTAACTTTCTGAGGAACCAGGAGCAACCAATCAGAAGATTGTGTTTGTCTGCTTGAATAGGCTATAATAATGTACATGAAGCATATATGAATACGTGCTGATTTCCGTAATAAAACGATCTGTTGCCGGCCCTTGTCTTCTCTTGTTACAGTAGGATCTGCAGGAACATGAACCCCAACCAGTTTAGCTTGTTGGGTCACTGCGGTATTCAAGTCTAGCCACCACGACAAGGTACCCGGTGTCGGCCGTCCACGTGATGCGTGGTTGGTTGGCAAGTATTCTACCGTTGAACCAACGACGTGAATCCCTGTGTAAGATTAAAATTATTAGATAAATAATTCAGCATTAGAAATCTTCACAGAAATGGTTCAGTTGAAGTCGCTTTGGATATTTTTTTTAGGATTTTTTAATAAATTGAAACAAATGAAAAAAGAAAAAGCAGAAAGAAGTCTGATAAGTATACTAAGTCAATTTATTCTAAGACTGTAATTCACAATTCCTGACATCTTGAAGTAATAGGTAAGTTGCAAGATTTTCCTTAAAATGCTAGCCTGTATACTTTAGTTGCAGTATGGTGTATGCTACTGATAAGATATATCAGTAGTATATAAAGAGACGTTCATCGGCGTGAAAACATCAAATAGCGGAGAAATAGATTTGTCATCATAGAGACCAAATGATTCAGCGTTGCGGTAAAACATAGGAGAGACGAAAAGAAGACTGAGAAACACAATACGAAGGAACTGCAGAAGTAGCACATCTACGGAAGATATGTACAAATGATGATTTGAAGATAAAATGCAAATAATTTCGTTACATAGAGATACTAAATTCTGTATAAACATTTCTTTACCAAATATCTTGTCTTGTATGATTACAGTTATGGTAATAGACTGTAGGTATGCTGCCTGAATATATAGTAGCTACGTTCAGGATTCAGCTTTGTTTTCCCCTTTACCTACCTTGTTATTTACATCAGGTTGGTGAGTCTTTGCTGACTGACTGACTGACTTTGTATGAAAGTGCAGCAGTTTAAGTTGCTACACTTCGTAAAGTACACAAAGGTAGGAAGGAGATCCAACGAACTACAATGAACATCATGCCAACTTCTGCCCCTTTTTCTAATTTCTAGACTACACCTTATATCATGTAATACGTTTTCAGGGACAAATTTTACCAGTATCTGAATGGTCTTATGATTTCATTGTTAAATATAGTTACGATTGTATAGCTTATGAAAATGAATCGTCGAAAAGAAAATTTTCTTCGTTATTAACCTCTTTTTCTTAGAACGGAAATGTACCAGAGAAAGGATAGTGCGTCGGTGGCACAGTGGTTAGGACTCTCGCCGGAGTTCGATCCTCTGCCGACGCACACTTAATATCTATGGTCGGCCTGCAAAATTTGGGCTACCGATATCACGTGCTGAAAATTCCATACTAGTATCAAAAATACGGTGTGGAATCAAGCTGTAATAAAGAAAATAGAGATTAATGAGAATTTAATGAACCTTGGAGACTACAAGGGTTGAATCCATCTAGGCCACGAGGAACGATGTGGAGCCACATTGTCAGTTGCCTCTAGCTACCGGTTGTTGTCGTCTTGAAGATCCTAACAAGCCGGACTACGCCTCCACACGTGACTTGCTCAAACTTGGCCTAACCGTCCTTAATTGTCTTACAACTTAATCTCATGTCAACCAACATTGCCGGACGAGAGAAACAGCAGCTTCGCCTGCGTAGCGTGTAGCTTCACAACCTCATTGAACTACTTGACATCATCACCTAACACCCTATGCCTAACATCAATATTACTGACACGTGAAATATAACGAAAACACCTGTAGTCGTAAATGACTAACCTCTTCATATCCCCATTTTTCACTACATAAAAAAGAACTGGTGTGCACTATACACTTTGATCAACAGCTGGACATTATACATATGCCACGCATGACATGAGATGGCAAATATAAGCCACGTAAACCTTCTGTATCTCCGCAAAGATTTCGTCAGTGATTAGTTCATTTGGGTTGATGCCATTCTGCAAATGAGTAGCATGCTCAACCTCTTATCCTCAGCGTAGGACTTGATGTATACTAGTTTTGCAGCATTATTTTAGATTTGACACGAGTGAGTCGTATGCAAGACACAGATTTCTGCTCGATGTGTTCATAAGACTCTGTATTTCACCAACGTCTCCACCTACGAAGACAATGCCATGTAAATACTGTAAACCAACTAAACTCCTCCTTGGTGACAAATCAAGCCTATATCGATTAGGTCCACATTCATTGCTACATCAGTGATTAAATTAAATGAAAAAAGATATATTTGGTGTCCCCAGCAGGCACTAGACAACCCTACATAAGCTCTTACACGACAGCATGAGCTCCAGTAGAGCGCTTTGAGCAGTGCAACATACTTTCTGAACATTTCATGCACCGTCAAACATTACAGTAGCACTTCTCAGTAGACATTGTCGAGTGTAGCCTTCAGATCAGGAAGCATGATAAATGTTAGACGCCAAGAGGTATGCCTATGCTCCAAAATCTGTCGTTTGGTGAAGATAAGGTCAGTCTATCCTTTTTTCTGATAGTTAACCTGCCTGCTTTTCACGGATTTGTTCCCCTGAACAAATCTCAGTTTACGCGTGGTTATTAAACCTAGAATTTTAGATACTATATCAGTCAAGCCAATCACTTGTCTCCCACTTTATACACTGAGATATCCAATGATTTACACTAGTCCAACGGGACTACTTTCGATCCGCAGAGATTAAATAGTATCTTGGTTAACCCAGACAACAGTTCATCACTACCATCTTTGAACACATTTTGAGACAAAACATCAGATCTCGTTGCTTTGCCTTGTTTTACTTTCAAGACAAGTTTTGCAATCACAGTTACATTTCAAAGACTAGCTCCGACATCTAAGATAAGTGCTGGTTTTAATTGAATTTTAGATTTTCCCGTCGATTGATTGAAACGAAGTGTTCGGTCTCATGTTGACATATCGGCTTCTTGTGCAGATGCTTCGATGATGTCTGGGCATTTAATTAGAATTTAATTGGTGGATGGACGATAGCAGTGGAATCCAGAATGCGCATTATGTTTTATTTAGGACTCGTCATCTGGATGTACCTGCATTTCTCAGTAAGTAATGATGTTCCAAACGAGGCTGGAACCCAGTGCCCATAGTTTCAAACGCCAAAGCGTTACGCACTAGACCACCTGGGCGACGAGAGACACCTCTTGTGCAACGGGTCATATTTATTTGAATTGAATATTAGATTTTCCCTTCGATTGATTGGACCGAAGCGCTCGGTCTCACGTTGACATATCGGCTTCTTGTGCAGATGCTTCAACGATGTTGCACAAGATGTAGCTCTTGTGGCCCAAGTGGTCTAGTGGATAACGCTTTGGCGTTGGAAACTATGGGCACTGGGTTCCAGCCTCGGTGGGAACATCATCACTCACTGGGAAATGCAGGTACATCCAGTGGCTGACGAGTCCCAAACGGGACGAAATGCGCACTCTGGATTCCACTGCTAGTCATTATCCACCAAATAAATAAGTGCTGGTTGTTGATCAAATTTAGTATGACTGTAAGCCAATTGAACTGCTCATTAAAGTGTTCCAGTCACACATCCTAAGAGTTTATCAAGGCACCGTTCTTCAACTGGAATCGGATTTGTACTGGCGGCTGTTTTCTTACACTGAGTCGAAATAGTTGTTAGTCGTCGCTTGAAGATACTCTGCAACTATTAAAGAAATTTTTAAAAAATTGCCTAAGTTCATCCATTCCAAAAGATCAAATTTTATTACGTAAGACTTCACCACACAAGAGAGAAAGAGAAAGGAAAAGACAGCGAAAAACAAGCTGATTCAAACTTAAAATTTAGCCAAGTAAACAAATAAAGGCGACAAATTAAATGTTCAATTGTTCAATGATACATACATGCATACATGAATACGCGTAAATCAGTAATTATAAAATAACACCACCCTTCATCTAATCCTATGCTATGCAGTATGCAATATTTAGCAGCAACAATGATAACGATGAATAATGTGTTTGTTTCAATGCTTGATTTCTACCTCGTACTTCTGACTTATTTTTGTGGGATTATTGGTGTATACGGAGTGGGGATCGCGAGGGAGGGCGGGGCGGTGAGTAATCTCCAATCTTAATACTGTCTGGCTAGTCAGTAACAATCTAGGTAGTTTTATAGTGAATTCGTAAAGACAATAAACATTACAAAGTAGAATCCATTTCAAAATTCATCAGTGTATTTATCAACTGCTCAGTTGATTATTTTCATTGATACGTTTCTGGGATGGTTTGGATCGCTTATAAGCTGGACAATTCCATGCCTTTGAACCAATTCTATCCATATAATTTATATAGCTTCTGTGGTTCCTAGGTGATTTCGATTGTTTTAACTGGTGATTATTATTTAAAGTATTTGTCAATATGCCAACATTTGAAACTTCTGGTAAACAGGATAATGACGATGATGATGGGATGGAGGAAGAGGATAAGGACGAGGGGGGTGAGGCGGAGGAGGACTGATTCACTAAAATATCTTGATATCTACTTATATCATTTTGAGTAGTAGTATTAGTAGTGTTATTCAACAGCTGATCAGAATCATTTATTCTTTGCATTGAAAATGTTTCACAAAATTTAAATATTCCACCATTTGTTTTATACGATGGTGTTGCAGAATTTTCATAATCAAACAAATGATATGGATCTAAATGGCATAAAGTTTGAAAATGATGATTATGCGATAAATGACGCTTTATACGAGTTATTATTGTATGCGCAGATAAACAGACTTTTTTTGTTTGACTACTACTAGCATTATCTAAATTTTGTCTCTCACCATTTATCATATTACATGGATCACGAAAAACAGCAGTGTGTAATTTTAATAGGAATTTTTGTAGACTTAACACATAAGCACTTTCATTGCGTGTAGTTTTAGCCTTATTTCCAGTATTGATTAAATGAAATGGTCGAACCGGTATACAAGTCGAGAGATTTGACCAAGCTGTTGGAAAATCATCCAACACAACAACATATGTCCATACTGGTGGTCGACGTGAATGTAAACGTGGATGTGTAGTATTATGCCGAATTGATAGTCTAGAATTAATATTACCAATTACTTCACGTAATAAACGTCGATTACGTCCATATGATTTAGGTAAATGAGCAAAAAATGCATCCGATTTATTACGAAATTGTGGATAGATATCTTCACGGCATAATACCCGGTTACCGAATAAACGTGATTGTGGATCTAAATACTTATTCAATATATAATTTGTTCTATCACGTGTTGAATAAGTCACTAAGCATAATTCATAATGATTACGTAAATTTCTTAACATATGATTAATTTTAGGTCGTAGAATAATTTTATCCGTTAAATTACTTTCTGTTAACAATGTCTCATCCATATCGCATACAAGTACTAATTTACGATTACGTTGACAATAATCGACTGTTAAATGTGAACATAATGAAATAAATGTCCCGTTCAATGGCATTTTTCTTTTACTAACCACTTTTCACTTTTGTTTTAATTCATTAATTAAATTTACTTGAAAATCAAACGTATAATTAATGTTTAAACAAATACAAATTGAATACTTCTACATATATGATGTATACATATATATGCACAAATTAAATATATTCTTCATCTCTTTTCGCTGTTAGGTTCTTTTTACTTAGAATCTTTGAGAAAAATTCTATCTACTTGTTAGTTCAATTTTCAATGATTAAGTAATATTACTTAACATAGTAGTTATTTCTCCTTTTTTGTTCTTATAAATAAATATTCGTTAATCAACTATACAACATTTCCTAATGTATTTATCCTAATAGGCATATTGATCGATAGCTAAACTAACTATATAACTTGTGAAGATATTAAATCGATAAAAGTAGTATTGATTACAACCGCTAACTGTTATAAGTAGACTGACTGTATTTTTAAAAAGAGGATTACAGTTGACTTCAAGTTTTGATGAACAATTGTTTGAATAATCTTACGATATTGTATGTATTATTCTTCCTGCCTACATTCTCCTACTTATCATACAATGATATCAGAACATGATCATGAAAAGAGGGAGTTATTTTTGGAAGTATTTGAAATATGAAGAGTCGAAGAAAAAAATGTCTTTAACTGGTATTCAGAAATGAATTATATCAGTGAATATTATCTTCATTATTTGTCTTATTGGGCATAAATCAGAATATAAAAACTGGTAGTTAATTCGATGGGGAGTAGACTTCCATGAATTTTGAAAAATAGTCAGATAAATGAACGAGCTATATGATATAATTTTATTAACAGTGATCAAATTACTCAACTGCTGACTGCTTTGAATCATTGAAAATAAAAAGCAACACTTACAAAATGACCTGATGATGTAAAATCGCGGAAATTCAAGTGTTGGTTTGCAAGGATTTATTTGGCTTCAAGTTAGATCACTATGTGACAACTGCTAAAAGAATACTGAAAATTAAGGATTACTGGATATCTGTTTCGTCCCAGTCTGGGACTCCTCAGCACCACCCAACAGATCGAATTAACGATATTGCTAACTGCCAGTATACATGCTTGTAATTTCTTCCTAATTTTATGATGGAATTAAAAGTCGGAAATTAGAAATGACCGATGCTAAAATGACCTCGAAATTTGTTCTAAAAAAGTTTATAGGTGAGATAAAGCACTATTATGCCTAGTTTGTTATTACAATTAATACACCATTGTTTAATTTAAGTAAAAAGGGTTCAGTGTCATATGTACGTCTGCTGCATTCGATCACAGTAAGATATGTTTGTCTGTTTCTATCGGTAAACATGATCAGGGTTAAAATTAGTCTGCCTCTAAAACTATTGGCATGATGATTTATTACAAGCTGACAAGATTATAACACTATTGATGTTTTAAATCCCCTATTTTCGGTGTTCTCATCTTCTTGCATATGTTTTTTATTCATATAGCTATTACTGTTTGTGTTATTTTTATTGTTATACTTTCCAAGAGAAACATCCTCATTAATTTGTCAGTGTAACTATGATGTGTCAGAGCTTCTTTTAGATTTCTTATTTTCTATAGTTAAAGTTATTTTCAACCATGAAGAAGCTAATTTCCTCTGTTCGGTCTAAACTTGTGTCACTTCTAAAGAAATTTAGAGGAGATAACACTGAATTAGCTATTCATGTCATAGCTTATCTCCTGTGGAATAAATGGGAATGCCATCTACCTTCATTGTGGTCTAACTATTCATTCAGACCGCTTATGTTGTTCCCATGAAACAGCATCATACTTCTATCATACAATAAAAAACAATGCGGAATTTTTCGACCAATCTTTTATTTGACTATATACGATTACCGTCATACTACACTGACCGTTTATTAGAATCAGTCGTTAATATGTTACCAGTACTTAAAACTCCTACTTTGCACCAAATCATTCTCCATATGCGTTATTTACAAATAAAGTTGAATTTTCAGGTATTGGTTTTGTAGGGATTTTTGTTTGATTGCATACGTGAAAATTCATCTGATGCTCACTAGCGACTAGCCCTATTCAGGCAGTAAACCTGGAGTTCTTGTGGGAAGCCGTGACCAGTAGGGTACAGCAGGTTGAAGATGAGGCAGTAACCCATCGAAGAAGACATTGCGAAATGGTCGCGCTATGTCATGAATTGGAAGAAGTTTGAATTATAGGACCATTTGATCGGGTCCCAGTGGCTCAATGGTCTACGAGCTCCCCTTGTAAACAGAAGGTACTGGGTTCGAACCGCGATGGGTGCGTACTGATGAAGAGTCCCAAACCAAGTGGGCGAAACAGCTGTCCAGTACTCCCAGGTTTTCCAGTGGTTCTCTAACTGATGTCAGCTCATGATGAAATCCTCCATGCAATCAAACAAAATTAGATGGTTGGAGGCAATCGGCAGGAAGCCTTGGACCTAGGTTTCGTGCTAGTTGGCACTCATCAGCAAGGCGTATCTGCAACCTTGAAGGAACTCATGTCTCTTCTGAGATTCGAACCCGCGTTACTAGTGTCCAATCAAAATCACTACAAAACCAATACCTGGAATTTGAATTCGACGATAAAGTAGTTCAGAGAAGTTAAAGCGATACAACGAATGGACGCAGTAACAAACTTTGAAGGAGCAGTTGTGCTAAAAATCGGATTTAGGTTCATAACTCAACTCTAGTGTTAATCTTTCCCTACTCTAGCACTAACCTAATCCTAATCTACCCGCAACCAACCCTAATATCTCCCTAATAAGGTTTGACCTAACCCTAACCTGTCCCTAGACTAATCTTCGCGTAATCTAACCTAAAAATCACTAGATATCCTGTTAAATATCCTTATACTTCATCCAACACTTTCTTCATAGTTGTTGTGTTATCTACCTGGTTTCACTAAATTATTCCCGCTTGTACGTTTCAGGATCTTTAGTGTGTTCATTCCTCTGGATTGATGTTCTCTAACTTAGCCAGTAGTTCCTTTCTGGCTTGTTAATAAACACACATTTCACCTTTCATTTACTCAACAATTGGGAAAAGCAACTTCTCTGATTCTTTTTTTCTGCGCTAATCTGTTGTCTACTATTTTTTTTTAATCATCTGATATCAGCCATATTTTGCTAACAGTTTTCCTTTGTTGGCAACACTAGAGAATAGGCATCATAGTCGAATGACCTGGAACCAAACAGTCAGTTCGCTCAGCACTGAAAATGAATACTTTTCATAATCTTCGTTGCAAGAATCACCCTAATCTTAATCATAACCCAACCATGACCTTGACTCTGAATTAGGATGAAACTTGAAACGAAGATTATGAGAAGCATCCCTTGGGAATGCTGGGTGATCTGATTTGGTTGGTTTAGGGTCATTCGACTGTGATATCTATTCTTTACTGTTGCTTCTTTCCTAAAATGTCAGTGGAAGTGCTTAGTGTTGTTATAAAATAACTGTGATTAAATATTAGAAAGCAGGACAAACACCTCACTACCACTGTTACTGACTTGACCAGCGTTCAATTTTTAGTTATTTATGTTACGTTATCCAAATCATCTGCTCATTTCCAGTTCTAATTTAAATGGCGTTATTCTCTACCCCACTTCTACTTAGTCTCTACATTTTAGTCAATTATATTGCGTCGTCTAACTTACTAACTCAGTCTTAATTATTTGCTATCTAATTAACCTTGTTTCTATATTAGATTATTCTTGTATTACCTGATCAATTATCTAAACTTGACAAACCTCACGTGCACACACACACAAATCATTATATATAAATGGGATTGTACAGCTATGTGAATGAATTCCCCGAAAAGTCTCTTCGCTGGACGTCTTCTCTTTTTTAAACGAATCAGCATATGAAATTGTACACCTTATGTGTTATCCATGCCTACCCCCAACGTCTTTTGTGTTCTAAATAAATTAAGATTAGTTTAAAAAAACGACACAGTGGAAATGTAAGAACTTCTTCTACCTGCAACACATTTGATAAATAACATCTTTGGTTAGGTAAACTAGATGATATAGCTTAGAATTCATACTTAGTGTTTATGTCATCGTGAGCTGATATCAGTTAGAGAACCACTGGAAAACTTGGGAGTACTGGACAGCTGTTTCGCCCACCTAGTTTGGGCTCCTTCATAGTACATACCCATCGGGGCCATCTGGTCACAAGGCTAGCAAGCTCGTAGACCATTAAGCCACTGTGACCCGATTCAATTTCTCCGCTTAACAAATCCCCAGTCGCATAATTTTTATTTTTACTTAGATGTTCATATAAGTGATACTTGTTTTGATTTCTGTCTGTTAGACAAATGCAAAAGAAAACTTGAAATGATTGCGTATACACCCATCAAATGATCACACTTCATGCTAGTATATTTGGGTGAGGTTAACATAAGGAAAGACAAAGAAAAATGAGTTAGAGAATAAACATGAATAACATATCCATTCGCAGTCGACATACAATTGCCTATTTAAGCTGCCTACATGAATACGAGATGTATTAATAATGATAAAGCTATGACTCCCCACCCTGTGCATCCAATTTCTCACCAGTAAAAGAGACATTCCAACCTTCTTTACATCGAAGTTTAGGAAGAGACATAGCTCAGACAGTAGCTAGAGGTTATTACTAATTGTGTAAATTTTCACCTAACTGTTAAGTAAGAACTAGTTCTTCAATAAAAAAACCCACGACTGTGTATTACATTTCGCGCAGACACTCATTTCAATCCTAAAATGGCGATAAGGAACGAAGTTAACTGAAGTTTTGATGGGAGGTCGTTACCAGTGAGATGATATCGGCTGACTGTGGTGCTATATACTACGGATTAGCAGAAGTTAGATTTCATGCTTCATTGGATCCCATCTCAAGAATTGCATGGTCAACGGTCTTGCCCAAATAACCTGAAGATTTTGGGTAGGATCTGTGGTGATGGAATGTGTTCTTATTTCTGAAGAGTCGCAAAAGAAATGAGAAATAGCTGTCCAATACTCTTTGGCTTTCACTGGTTTTCTAATTGATGTCATCACGTGAAATAACTTGAAACCAATCAAATTCTGGCATACCAACCACTGGGAAAATACTATACTTTTCCTTTACAAACTTAAAATTAGATCAGGAACTCCGTTAAGCTCAATATCATATATACTATATACTGACGGTGCTACCAATGAATAAGAATGTAAATAATATAAGTTGCATCTCTAAAAGTTATTTATTCAACCTCAAGAAATATCCATCGATCAATAAGTCAGTTATTTTGCTTGGTATTCAAGTGCTGCGTCACTGATAAATTTCGCTAGATCAACATCTCTTTGAGAAAGGCCACCTGCATCATGCGTGGTGAGAAGAATGTCCACCTATTAAGAAAAACCATCAAGAAAAAACTGTTACTGAATACTGACTGGTGATAACAATGATTATGAAATATCCATTATGAGAATGTAAGCTCAAACACGGTCTTCATGTATAGCCAACAATATTAAAAGTGAATGTTTATTTTTATAAATAATGATTTCATGCATGAAATTTACACTTTTTCGTAGCTAAGAACAAATGGCCACTCACTTAGACATTTAACCTTAGACTGACAGGTACGGGATTCCAGTCGTTGAGAAAAATCATCACACCTGTGTTAACTAGCAAGTGCTAGCAAGGCTTCCTGCCGACTGCCTCCAACCATCGAATGTCAACAGTTCATAGTGCACCGTGATGACGAGTCACCTAGTATTGTGGCCACTTTGCACACTTGATACCCTGTAATTATAAAATCTGTCTGCCATATATTCTAGGTCAAAACCTTATTTTTTAGTGAAAAAAATTATTATCGATATTCAGAGGACAATTCGAGAATTCCAATTGTTACTCATTCTTCATTGCGCTATATCGCTGTTTTTTATGAAAATCATGGTTCTTTATACATTGCTAAATAGCCATACTTACATTTGGTCAATCCAGTTCTTCTCCACATTGTTCACGGGTATTTCTACTACAGTTGAGGGTTTTAGAAATCCTAGTGCTACCTTCCTGCTTTCATATAAATTATGTAAAATGCATATAAAGGGGACCACATAAAAAACTTCTCTACTAATTAAAAAGAAGTAAATACGGGCTTTAGAATTATAGGGAGATTCTTTTGATATGGATATATACAAACATCAAATCACGCTGAGAACATTGTACAGTAACCGATATCAAATTACTGTGTGCTGTGTGAAATGAACAGATTGACAGTGAGTCCCTTTTTGTATAGTCCCGTCGTCATGCTACATCTTCCACGTATATGAAACTACCATTATATGTCTGTAAGTGTATAATTCCCATTAATTAATGTAAAATGTTTGCTAATTTACAAAAATCGCCATCCGTATTTACTTCTAATTGATATTACGTGGTTGAAGGGGACTTATAAGTCCCACTTTTATTGCCACTCATCGACAAGATGTATTTGCAACCAGAGACAGGGAGAGAGACAGAGCTGATGATACTTTCGAGATGCTAACGTATTAAAGTCCGTATTGTAACCGAATTTAATTTGAAAACAATCACCAAAAATGTATCACATGTCCCAGTCACAGATCAAAATGTCATATCTTTATTCATAGTACCAAGTGAACACATTTGAGAACGATAGCAGCATTTATCCTGAAGAAATCTGATATTTAGTTTCATTTGCTGTAGAAATAATAATGAGAACAATGCATAACTCGCAGGCAAGTTAGTAGAGACCAGTTGACTTTTGTAGCCTCGTAAAAATTGACAAATTCACGAAGAATGAAATGTTCCGAAAGTGAGGAAAAAAGTGAAATTCGCTAAGGTGTATATGAATTAAATATTGCCATAACGAATGCAAGTAGAAGCAGGTGGATGGAGAGAAAGAAAGTGGAAATATTATGGTACTGTGTGACACGCGTCAACCATTCAGGCTTATTTAGATGACGGCGCTTAGTAATGCTATGGAGGGTGAACCGATCATCGAGGAAGAAAATACTTTATTGACCTTTAACGTTGGGCGGCAGCACTGTTGAACTGTCTAACTGGCCTAATCAGCACTATATTTGCCACTGTCCAGTATTATTTCCATTGAAATGTGCGTGTCGGCCCTTCAACTCCCGAAAAAGACGCGAAAGATGACGGAGACGATTTGGTACTATCTGGAGATGTTTAAAGATAATCACACAGTAGCGCACTAATATAGCATACAGTATACGCAAATTTGCAATATCTCCATCAGATTAACTTAGACTGCTAACCACTCCAGTAATAAGGACTACAGATTTTTATATGGATCACACAGTGATCCGTGTTTACAATCATTTTAAGACCAGGTGAACCTCACATAGAAATTGAAGAGAACTAGGCATACCAATGGTGCACTTTCTAAATCTTATCCATTTACAGGTCCTAGGACACAGTTATATTTAATGACATCCAGCATTTATTATATATCTTGATTTGAAAGCTACTTTTGATTTCGTAGATTTAGACATGATGGTAAACAGCAGTCCATCCTAAAGCCAGCGCAACTTTTGTCTTGTTAGTTACACCGTAGATATGCTATCGGAGATGACCACCTGTTATTTGCACAGTCGTAGAATTATCTTCACATCAGAAAAAGACGTTGTTCGACTTTGAGTAGATAAACGTGTAAGAATTTGAATGGAATTGTTACGTTAAACGACGATAACCAATAGTGTCCAGCATTCTTATATGATCTTATCATAAAAATCGAAAATGTTTGGCTTCAATGTTCTAGAGGGTAACGCTTTGTTGCGAAAATTTGTTGAGTACGCAAACGAATAAACACAAACGTTTTTTGAACTAAATGAGGAAGCACTGAGCATACTTGTAATGCGCATCGCCTGTATCAGATAAAATAAAGTACTAGTGTGTTGACCTTCACCGGGGACAGAGATTGAATTGGTAGAATATGTTGACTGCTCCACATATTTTGAAGTCACATAGTATCAAACCAACTACTCGCTAACGAAATTTTAGTACGAATACAAAACAGCCTTCCGGGATTCGCGTGTGGCAAAACTACCTGGTAAGTAATACTTAAGTGGAGTGAGTCCTCAGGGAAGGCAACTAAGTTAACTAAGATTGTAACCTTCAAGCTGAGCACGCTACGGCCTACATGGACCGGTAATAGCATGCACAACATAACACTGCGATAAAATTGCAATTGAGAATTAGGACCTCCAGGAAAGCTTGAAACCGTACCATGAATGGGGGAAATTTACTACCTATTATTTATTAGCCACATAGTGTATGGATTTTGATCTGAATTATGCACCATTCTTGGCTGTAACTCTTAGAATATTGAGGATTATAATTCACAATTCTCAGACAACGCAGAAGTTGGGAACAAATGAGATATACCTATGCAGTCTTTGGGTTCCATGTGTCTCATTTCCCCTGATCTATCCATCAACTACATTTATTTGTGTCATACTAGATTATACTGACCGTGAACTTCTTCAAAGAGAAATTGGGTCCCCACAGACACATTAAACTGCAAGAGTCAACACATACCATGAGAGCCTGTTATCCTTTATTATCTGAATATTGCATACATGGTAAATTTGATTCCGTGCTTCACTTCCCAATATTTTGAGTGCCAATCGAAGAAAATTATGGTGAAAACGGGATATCCTGTAGTTATTTCACAATCTTAGTATGTTTTGTATTCTGAAAGAATGATAACTATGCTATCAGTCGATATTTACGGTTAGTTTTCACTATAAGCAGACAAATCAGTTAGGAGTCATACCAAATTATCGTGGTAAAACTATGCAAAATTTTATACTTAGTTTACGGAGGAATAGAGGAGATATATGTATACATACATATACATAACTATTTATATATGCTAAACTAACCTTGTTATAGACATTAAACCATTCAGGGTGATGATTCATAGCTTTGGCCTTTCCAGCTACCTTAGTCATGAAGTCGAATGCAGTATCAAAGTCTTTGAAAAGAAAAGAACGTCTCATAGCATCTCCGGAACGATGTTCAGTACACATTTCCCATTTGCATTCCCTTAGTAAAGGTTTGAGTAACTCTTCGCGTTCAGACTCTGTGAGACGTGGCATTTTACGCTTCTTTGTGGAAATAGAACTATTATTAAAGTTAGACATACCCGAGGCGCGCTAACAACAGTAGAGTAACGAAAATGCAAGACATCAGTCAGTTTAGCGCTGCGTTTCAGAATCGTTGCCATTCCACACTTGCCTGTCCAATGTTCACTTGATTGCTTACTTATGGATTGACAGTCCATTTTGTGAAGTTGGAGAAACTTCCTCTTTCCGTGTTGTAAAAACGTATCTCCTTCTTCGAAGATTAGCTTAGTGTATTTCTCTGGCTGGAAATAGTGAGTTCCATTGATGGAAGAATAACAGGATACATTGTTATCACAAGTATCCATCATTCTATGACAAATAAACCAGATAGGTCACCGGAATTATAAGAGGCATCTTTGAGAGGTCGGACCAACAACTATCGACATTTACGGTACGCCGAGGCTGGCAGAAGGTGAAAAGTGTAATGAGTTCCTGCATAAAATGCAGCGCGGCAGTAGCTGAGATAATTTGTGGTACCTGCCTCCTGCAGACTACCTCAGCCAACAGATTCATCTGAAATCTGCGCAAAACAATTCATGAAGAAGGATTCTGTATGCCAAGAAACTCTATGAGACGTTCTCCACTTATAGTACAAGATGAAAGAGCATAAGTAACATCATAGGATGCTGGGAAAACAGCCCCATCACTCTTACGGCAACAAATGAAAAGTGTGCTGTCATAGCCTTAGCCCTGCTTGGCTATGAGCGCCTAGAAGCTGACTTCACCGACATATCAATGACATCAAGGATGGAGGGAGGCTTAGAAGGAATCAGCTGGTCTGTAAAAAGTGTCTTAAGATAGATATAATATAATCCATGGACACTGAACGAGACAGTTTCTCTATAAGTAGAAATGTCGAGTACCTTTGCAGTAATGTCAGGGGCTTCAGAGGTCAGATAACGGTGTTCCTATCCTAGTGGTAACATTAAGCACATTCAGTTACCATTTTTACGCAGACGTGGTTATTGTCTAGGGACCAAAACAGTGAAGTGAACAAATATGGGACGATAATGTATAGGAAGAGAGGCGGAAGTGTCGTAATGCAAGTGAATGGCAAGTTTCGGTGAGATTGGAGAGCTCCTCTCTACAAAGCACTGTGATTATATTTCTTAGAAACCCAAAACATCTGCGTCTAGAACAATTTCGAGAATGTGCCGAGTTCCAATCAGTATTTCCTAAAAAACGTGGTAAAACCTCAAGTGTTCCTGGAAGTGAGCTGTTTCAGCATAAGCCGGACAGACGGCAGTCACCATGTGCTCTAGTACTTTTTTTAAAAGGAGGACATTAAAAACGTCTTAGATCCTGTAGACCAGTAGCTATTCTACCAACAATATAGAACGTCCAAGCGAAAACCTCTTCCCATTAGAAGCTGCATACATAGCAAGTAGTGGTCCTGTTATAACGGGTTATTTACAACTTGAAAAAACTGAAGAAAGCGCTGGGACCCAAATATTTCTAGACTTCGAAAAAGTCTCCAGATCAATATCGTAGGAAATCTCACAATGGAGGAGGAATTTCGCACGAACGCAAATACAGTAGGATTCATGTAGGGTGCCAACCTAGGCTCATTACAGAGGGTAACTGCTGGTTAATATTTTAATATTTAAGATCTGTAAAACACTTACCACTCCTTTTTTGAGGGTCCAGACTAATGTTTAATTCTCGAGCTGTCAAAAAATGCATGTTGCTGCCCTACAGATCAGAGTGATTCACATTTGTGAGCATGAACAACACTTGCCAACCTTCCTCCTTTTTCGATGTTAAACCCTGAGATTTATTTTGGCAGTAACCATAGTTGCAGCATTGCGTTGCTTTGAGCCCGTCCAAATCATATAGTGTGCTGCAAATTAATATCTTTCATGCCAAGTGCTTCCCATTAGGTAATGGGATACATCAATACCTGAGGACATTCTTAGCAGTATCACCTTTATACATGCATACATGTATACAAGTATTCGCTACAAACGCCTAGGAAGTTAATTTTAACTTTAAGAAGTATAAAGTATAGAGGTAGCTAATGTTGCACCAACTAAGTTATAGTCTATTCAGTAGAGTCAAATGGGTCGCGTAGCAGTTAATGATGAAATTATGTAGAATGACCTTGAAGAAGACAGTTGGTTAACATGACTAGTTGCGCTAAATTTTCATGACCGAATTTCATATGGTAGGCGTCAGACATTGAAAAGTAATCCTTCAACTTATGTTATGTTAAAAATACTGCGAAATGTTAAAAAACTACACATTTTATAAAAGTATACGAAGAAAGGTTGTTATTAACTGAGCAAAGTTATTTCGACACAAAAATAGCAATTAATTAGTAATTATATATATTATATATATATGTCAAATATTGAAAAGTTTGGTTTCTAATATAATTATCTCCAGAGTCACTTATATTAACACGACTTATTGAAGATCATAGAGAATGGAAAATGAGTAAATTAGTTGAACTCTCGCTGTGTAATTAATAGAGTCGAGTTACACATAAGTGAATCCACTGAAGACCTGATAGGCTTCCGTATAACATTCAGTCAGCAGCATTGTTCTTTTAGGCGAGCTAGGGTGTAACATTAAATGCGTCATTCTAGTCTCCGACTGAACCAACTGGGGTTGTCAATATCCAGGCCTTAACTTACTTGACATCACGCTGTCCCTGGAAGATTTCAGAAACACTATGTAATAACCAACGCGAAAAACCAGAACACAGATTGGCGAGTCGAGAATTATTTATACTTACGCCAATGTGTAAGCAAAAATTAAATTGTAAAACACAAGGTCTACGAATAATTGTTATAAAAATATATCACAACAATATGTCTCATAGTTATCCTCATTCCAACGAACAGCGACCGATGAGACGATGACTGGTGTATTGATAAATGCCACAAAAAATACGAAGGAGATGGGTTTGAGGAAACAACAATGAATTCATCGTTCAATCTTCAACTACATTGACACTCCCCGACAAAACAGAGATCCATTCCTTTTTTCCATCACGACCAATACACGTTGACTTGGATGCCATTGAGAGAACCTGGGTCACACGGACAGAGCAGAAATGGAAAACAAACAGAAAAGTCAACACACTACACGCATACCCACAGCACAATCTCACACATCAATGACGACCTGCGCCTTCCAGTTAAAGGTATCCCCTTGACATCTTGCAACACAATCCCCACTTGCTAGAATGACTCTTGCAGAATGCAACGTGACCATGGCAGCAACTCACGATAATCTACGCACATCCTCTTATCTACCCACTACCAATTACCACTGAAATCGCTTGTCACTCATTCTGCCTCAATTCTAGTATCGATGACGTATGCGAGTCTCAGTCGTTTACCCTGTTTCTCTCCGGCGTGTGAGACCACAGCTAACAATTATCTCCGTATGCATTTCATTCTCAGCAATAGCCTCCCCGACGTATACGACCCATCTGCTGTCCTTAACATCAATCAATTCATTCACGGATGCAGAAGACTAGAAACAAATTCACGACGAAAATTTAAACAAAATTACGCAATAACTACAAGGTACGAAAACAACGAGTAAACACAATGAATCCAAAAACACCAATTGATATGACACACCACACATATGTACAAACAGTGCACACAAACTCGCAGTTCATGTCTTGATGGAATTCCTTTGAAGAATCGCAGAACTTACACCAGTACGCCTACAACCCTTCACAGGTTGACGATTGTAAGTTGTGGAATGTCCGGACACAAACAAGATTAACCAACAATTACAATAATTGGAACTCACACAATTATTTAACACCAACGTATGTATAACCAATACATCGAATGTTCTGGATTCTGCCATGACGAACTAATCTTGAAGAACTGTAGGACTTACAGCAGTACGCCTACATTCCTTCTCAGGTTGATGATCCAAGTGGAAGTCGTCCGAACACAAACAGAATTATCAACAGCTAGATGATAGATGATACCAATTCAGTATATACAATATGAACATATGTACAAATTCGCACACCAAGAAAGTTGTGCTGCTCATTGATGCGCTACCCTTTGAAGAATTGTAGGACTTACAGCAGTACGCCTACAACCGTTCTCAGTTTGACGCTCTAGGTTGGAAAATCGTCACAGAGCTTATTTTCTCACTTCTCGCGATCAGCTACATCCTCAAATCTGAACGGCAACACGCTCATGTCATTGTATCGTAGAATATAGATGACGAACAAACACACGAAGTATCTGGTCAACCAAGCGTAGAAACAGAGTAATTTACACCAAAGATAATAGCATTCAAATAGTAACTTGAAACTAGAAATGCCTTTATTCGTGCAAGTCAATTTAACAATTACTCTCTCGTTTACACTTGGCTTATCCTCACTAAACTGACCATTGATATTCGTCCTTTCAAACGAACTGATACTAGCATAGTCATTGCACAAGATACTTGAGCTGATGGGCGTCTGTTTCATTGTGGATGACAGCACCAACGACGACTGAGTGACACAAGTTGATGAACTTAGCGGTGGATCAGAAGCTGTTGTTGTTGTTCGACTTTCAGAAAGTTGTCTAACTGCAATATTACCACCACTGCTTTCTTTCACTATCAGCTCCGGTTTAGCACTAGCATCTGATGATAGGTGGGCTTCGCTCTGATCAATTACACTGACGGTCTGACAAGTATGCATGCCTTCTGCAACTGCATCTGCATTTAATTCTACTTCACGTTCAAGTTGTACAGAACTTTCGTTCAACTTAGCAGTAGTAGGCATATCCCTCATCTCATCATGATCAACCAGAGACAAATGTGCACTATCATGATCATTATCACGAATATTCACTTTACCGTCAACTTCATCATTTTCAAACTCTTTATTAACAGAAGTAGACAATTTTGGTTCCTCCTCGCAAATCCTAAAAGTTTTTATACCTTCACTCTGACTAGTAATACCTTGTAAACTTGTGGAGTCAGAACTGGACTCTGAATCAATAACTGTATTCTGTGACACTCTATTCAACAATGGCTTACCAGTTGCGACTACAGGCTTATGACCACACCGTTATCGTCACACAATTCGGAGTCAGGCCTGGATTTCACATTTAGCTTATAGCTGAACTTGCTGACTGGTTCACAGTTCACCTTTGTACGCACCTCTTGCAAACGTGTAAAACACAGCCGTGTTTGTCAGCATCTTGTAACTTATCTGTTGAGGATGTACTACGAAACCTGTTACACTCACTAGGTCTATATGCATTACTAGACATCATGGAACCTTCTCTATATCCACCTCTCTGAGGCCTATTCGTCATCAATGATTGCATTTTGC